AAATAATACAGCAAAAATCAATGGTACCATGCAAGTCTCATTCAACCTCTCTCTATTTTTTTCTAATTAAAAAGAGTAGACAACTATTTTCGAGTCTTACGAAAGGCACGAGAATGGATGGAAAGGGGTACTAAAATTTCGAAATTGTCGCACAGATTTAGAGAGGTACCACAAATAATCAGCAAAAATCAATGGTACCGTGTATGTGTCTCTTTCAAGCCCTACTTTTTTTTATTGAAAAAAGTAGACAGCTAATACGTTTCGAGCCTTACGGGAAGGTACGGGGACGGAAGGGGGAAAAAAGGGATCGCGCATCCTTCCTGCTGAAAGGACGACTTAATTCCGTCAACGTGACGATCGCTATAAATTGCAATGCCATCGGGGGTCTTCCCGGATAACGTCGGTAGCGACAGGAATATGAAATTCCGCGAGAGATTGAAAGCGTACAAGGATAATCTCGCGAGGTTTGACGTAACGCGCGAGAAGGATGTCGGCGCTCGTGTTAATCCCAAACAACGGATGTAACACATATATTCCGGTTAGATAAGCTCTATCCATTATCGCCGACTGTATTTATCTGTTCGACGAAACGAAATTAATTTCGAGCAATCCCGATTATTCGCGATACGCGATATAATATGCATTCGAGATTATATCGTCGAAACGAAGTGACGCGTAATCGCGGAAATTTAATAAATCGCAAATTATCGTCGAGCCGATTATTTTATTGAGAAAAAAAAATGTTCCCGAAAAAAAAAATTCACCGCGACACCGACGACGGACCGAGTGACAGCGATGGCTGTTCAATTTTGCGTCTCGTAGAAAAGCGTAGTTGTGTGCCTCAACAAAGAGCGTTGCGTTAGCCGGCGTTGTGGATTAATTCAACGTATTGACTGTACTGCGAAACGAAGCGAGGGGGTTGCGAAGTCAGACGGGAGTTGTGCGGGAGAGGCGGTAATTCCGCTCCGCGGCGTCGCGCTTCCGCTCGGCGGAAGTATTCGCCGAACTCTCTCTCCTCCCCAAACCAGCGCGGCCGCGGCGGCGGAATTGTTTCGCAAATTCCACGGGATCGTCTGGCGGAGCGTACCGCCCGTCCGATTCCGCGCCCGCGGAGAGGCGCGACTCCGTCCCGCGTTCTGTTTTTTCATCGCGCGTTCGGTCCACGCGGCATCCCAGAATTCTCGCCCCGTCTCGCGTATATCTCGCGAGCCAAAGATCATCTCGATTCCGCGACTCGCGGCCTTGACCCACGTCACGGCGCCGTGTCAAAAACTACCGCTTTTCCTCTCGATAACCGAGCCGCGTCCGCGCGGATCCGCGCCTGCCACAGCGCTGCGCTTGTCCGACCTTACCACGGAAACTGGATCGCGGCACCGACCTTGCTCGGCTTGCTCCCGCGCGCGCGTTTGGAGCCCCCTGCCCGCTGCTCCCCTGTCCTCCCCCGACTGCCTGTTAATTACTAATTTAGTTGCGAATACATTTGCAAAACAAGCTCGCACCCCGACGGCGGAGCGCATTAAAATCGATTAAAATTTAGCTGTCGAGCAAAAACCATTACGCGACCAGAATCAGGCGCGACGAGTTCGTTTTATGTGCGTTTGATTATGACATTCAGCAAATTGAGATTTCCCATACGGAAAAAGCGGACGTTCCCTTTATGCGCGTACATACGCGTTTATATACACGCCCGTATACTTGCACATTACGTTGTCTTCGGCCATTGACGAGTTCGCAAACGTGAATGCAGATGAGTACGATATGAAAACGTTCATCGATATTGTTTCCATAAATCCTGGATTGCGTCGCGCGTGTGTCGTTTTCCCCATCCCCCGCCCTATTCGTCGGTCCAGCTCGTCGCGTCTCTCGCCGCTATTTTTTTTTCCCTCCCCCGATTCGCCCGAAATTTTTCACGTTCGTCGGCACCGTAAGGCACCGGCGCTGATTGCCGCGCTTGTGCCCGGGGACGTGAATTCTCAGCGGCCGCGTCTCACCGTTCCGGCCATGCACGTCACATTTATTTGTCATTATTACGCGAACATTCGGTGCCGGAAGCGCTTACGGGATATCCCGGGATCCGTCGGGTGTCACGCCTTCATTAATAACACGACCGTCTCAAATGTAACTCCGCTATTATTCCGCCGTTACATTGATTTATGAAGCAGAAACATAGTTTAATTCGCGCTTAAACCGCCCAACTTTCGCCTTCTCTCCGCTACTTCTCCTCCTTTCCCTCCCCCGCCCGCCCCTTCGCCGCGCTGTTCCACGCTTAAGTCAACCTCCCGGCGGCACAATGGAGGGCAATATTTATCGAACAAACGGGCTAGATTGTTTTACGAACGGCAGCCTAGATTTGTTGGCCCCGACGAGTATATTTTTCTCCCCCCCCCCCACCCCCCGCGTTCTCCACCTTTTTTCCCCCGCCATCTTGCCCTCTGGCATTTGCCACTTTCGCTCGTCCGCGCTTCCTTCGCGGACCGGAGGAATGCAGTTCGGACAAACGGATTTTGCAGAATGGCTCGTCCTTGACCTGTATTACCCGGGGTCTAAGGGTCGGACGGCGTTCACCAGCGCGTCCACCGTATATCGACACGAGCGCACGTTTGTGGCGCACGCACTAACGACGTGCCCGAAAGCCCACAACGCTTCCCCGTTCCGCATATTATATCGATCAGGCCTATTCCGTATCTCTTCCGCCACGTTTCAGAATCGAGTCTACAGACTTTCCGACCTATTTATCCCCCCCCCCGTGTCCCCCTCCGCCTCTCTTTTAATCTCGCGGCGCGAAGTCGGGGAAAAAAATTTCAACCCTCGTGTAGCGACGCGCGCGCTGGGGAAAAATGTCCTACTAAAAATAAACGTGTACGTGTGCGGGCGTACGTGTACCTTTGTACGTATATAATAAAACCTCTATTATCCGAACGCCGTTTAAGCTCGGGCTATTCAAGCGGCGCCGCTAAGAAAATGAACATCCCTCATGCACATTACGTTTACGCAAACACGTGTAGGCGTATGTTACACATGATGTAACATATACGTCTTCATCCCACTGGTAGTTTGAAACGAGCGTGTGTGTGTGTGTGTGTGTGTGTGTGTGTGTGTGTGTGTGTGTGTGTGTGTGTGTGTGTGTGTGTGTGTGTGTGTATGCACCGACAAGACGTAAACGCTCGAGAACAACATTCCCAGTCATTCTGAAGTGTATTCTCTGCTTTAGAAACAGCTAGGTCTCAGATGTTACGAGGCACGGAAAGAAAGCGCGCGCGCGCGCGGTCCCGCTGCTATGAATAACACCAGGGAAAATATGTAAATTAAGCAGCTCTCAGAAGGACCGGGATGATAGAACGGAGGATGAAGGGAACTGTTAAATTGCTGTGATAATTTCTATCTCGTTACAATCCGCGGAGTGTTGTGCGCCGGGTAAACTTTCTTCAAGACGCGGACTATTCGTGAAACTGGATCACCCAAATATATCTCGCTTCTCCCCGACCAAATCGGATAATGGGGGGTTTTAATCATCCTTACGGCATTTAATTATAGATCACTTCTCTTTCCCGTCACGAATACGCTTGATAAATCTGCTTTCTGAGAAGCGCGACTGACAGACACGCGGGACAATCGTCAGTGAATAGGGCAAGGATCTCGGGCGGTATACGAACGAAGGTACTGGCGGAATTGTACCCGTGTCAGCTTCCGATTGGGGCATAAATTCCTGCAGCTCCGCTATCAGCTGGCCGATCTCTTCCGAGTCCTTTCGGATGCTGCATATCTCCTCCTCGTTGAAGTCCGGTCTAATCTGTTTGCACAGGAGGATCTGCGAGACCACGTTGCCGATATACGAGGGACCGGCGCGGTTCTCTGTAACGCGATAACGAAAACTGTGTCGTTAGATTTCGACGGCGTCGACTCGTGAGCTCCGGCAACGTCTTCCTCCCTTCTCAGCGGAACATTATTTTAAGCGCGGCGCGGCGGAAATACACAATTTTATTAATAACACAATATGTTAATACGCAACGCTTCGTTTAGCGTGGCTTTAATATAAAAGTGCATAGGGCGTTTCTTGCCCTTTTTTTCGACGGGATTTAAAAAAGCTTCCATGTACCTTAATGCGTGCAACGGAGGGAGAAATAAGCGAGCGTCCGGAACAAGCTATAGCGCTAATGTCAAGGAAATAGTTATAAATTATTCGGAGCCAAGTTTTACTTATGGGAGAAAGAGAGATGCCTTGTGGCTTACTTATTACTTGATAAACGCTAAAGTTAGAAAAAAACACTTATTAAACGCAACGGTGCATCAGTTGCTCTCTTTCTCTCTCTCTCTCTCTCTCTTTCTCTGACACGTGTACGTCGTGTGCAATAGAATTCGGCTCGCTTGTAGGAAGCGACGTGCAGTTGGAAACGGGGATTTGCCGAACGCGTGGCGGCCTATAAATGTACGCGGTAGTTTTGAGAGTTATGGTCCGTAGGGATGTACACGCCGTAAATCAGTCTATCCGGCCTGGCTCAAAGCGGCCGCGGAAACTGATTTAACGTTGCAAACCGATAACGCAACGTGACTCGATTCCGATGGCACCTCCGCGCTCGTTCTTACGATCTTCCGCGCGGATCTCTCTCGCGTGGGATTGTAATTCCGGGTGCTATTTCACCGAGAACGACGCGAATTTAATTTCGTCGACGAGCACTCATTTATCTCTCGAGATTAAGATCGCCGCTGACCAAGTCGCGATCGCGCACTCGATGAGAAAAAAAAAGCTACAGTAAAGTGTCCCGTGTATTCCGTCTACTTTCCGGCATCCGCGGGTCCTTCGAGCGATTTGGAGATAATTATCGTACTCTGGGAAAAAAAAGGACAATTGGCAACCCATTTTGGGGCCCACAATTAGTAATCGAATTATCTGGATCGTTCGTAATTTTAATCTTTTACGAATTTTCCCCCGCGTAAATAAAAATCGCAATTAGCTATCCTATCTATATCCACAATTTTAAAGTAATACTAATCAATTCTCTCAATTTGTTCTGTCGATATTCAGTAACGCAAAGATAATTTTCACTTAAGAGGCACTAACCGAAACGTCAAGTTGCTTAATTACAAAAAAAGAACGGTCAAAATTTTTCCCAGAGTTACGAACAATCCAAATAATTCGATTACTAATTGTGGGCCCCAAAATGGGTTGCTAACTGTCTTTCCCCCCCCCCCCCCCGGAGTATTGTCGCATCAAACGTTGTAAACGTGACTCACCGTAATACCCGGACATGTCCATGGGTATGATTCGTATGAGGTTTTTACTCTTGTGCAGCTCGCGTAAGAAGAGCTGAGCCACGTAAAACAACAGCACCAGGTTTGGACTGTCGACTGGTATCCCGACGTCCATAGCGCTGCAAGCAAGATATATCCAAAAGATATTTTCGATCGTCCGAGATTGATCCTCGATAAAAGGACGAAATGTTAGAGGAAAAGGTGCGAGAGATCCTTTTATATTTCTATTTCTCGAGGGGTGAACCGCTGAGGGCATTGTGGTGTACAGATTTGCGGCATTACTGGGCATTAGGTCTTACTGGAGCATTATAAAGATTAAATAAGATAAAATAACATAAAACTAGATAAAAAGATAATAAGCTAAAGTAATGTCCACTGGGCATTAGTACACTAAAAAAAATTTTTTTTACTACCGCAGCTAATCGTTATTTGCTAAAAATACTTTGCTGCATTAACTTTCATTTATAAATTTCTAAACCACAGTCAACGGTTTACTGTCGCACCTAATACAATAGGGACAGTAGTAAAGTATTAGCTGTCACAACTGAAATTTGGTTACCATATACATTCGTGAGTCGAAATTTTGGCCCTATGTTGAACTTTAGTTATATTTAGTTCTATTATATAGTAGGACCTAAAACAGTAAAAGAGGTCGAACTGCAAGTACAAAATTTACTCCTACTTTAAAACTGACAGTGTCGGAAATGTCTACTTTTGCCAATTCAGCATTAAAGCAAGTCCTTTTAAGTAGGAGCTGAGGTAAATTTTTAGAATTAAAGATTCAAGGGAGGAGTAAAAAAATATAACGTCATCAAAGTAGGTTATTGCTAGTCTATGTAGATGTATAGATCAGCTAAGTAGGCGTAAATTATCTTTAAGTGTCAAAATAGTACCAAAATTTCGACTCGGGCAGTTTTTGAGCTACGGCAGCTACATTTTTTCCGCGTAGGCATTGGTGTACATGAATTTGGTCAGCGGTTTATCCCTCGCTCTTTCTATTCTTATTTATAATAAGTTAAAACTCATTATAGTAATGGGATCAACATCAGCGTTCTTTATTTCTGCAAACATCTTTCGGCCTGCAAAGTGCACGTTTTTAAATTCAACGGGGGGTAAAACGATTTCTCTAAACATTCAGAATCACGTCGAATTCGGGCCTCAAGGAAACAGGATGCTAATATACAAGGAAGATCAGGGAAGGTTTGAAGAAAACGCTTTCATGAAGATTTGCTCAGTACACGTGAGAAATGTTACGAGATAAACATGGAAACGTAACACTCTTGCTGGTTTAGCAACGATTATTCCAAGTCACTTAATTTATTAAGGATCTGAGTTTCTACTGTGTAAACGTTTCGCGATGGACGGGAGTCAATCGCATCCGCTCTTTTTATAGTCTCTTGTGCAACTAATGCGGAGCTACCAGATACTCTGGGGTAGATAAGCAGAACGTTGTTAAGTATTTTGCGGCGAGTTACCGCTAAACAGCTCTTGCGTATCGAATTCAACAGTTCGTTCCGTATTACCACCGTCTCCTCCGAGCATAATCCCGCTCCGGTTCCCAGATTTTGCGAAGCAAATACGAGACCCCGGAGCGGCGGACGCGAGTCGCGGCGCCAATGAAAACCGCGATGAATAAAACCGCGAAAGATCGCGTTATCGCTACTGAATGCACTGCGAGGTAAATCGCATTATCGCGAGAGATACGAACTGCTTTAGCGACTTCCTTGTCGGGGTCTCTCGGACGCGCGCGATTTTAGCTGAAGGTCCATAAATCTGATTTCTCCGCCGCTCTGGCCCCGCCCGCCGTAGCTCGCCGAGTTAATTACATTAAGGACATTATTACTACTGCTTACGCGAACGGGTCACCCGCGAGGCACAAGTGCTGGTCTCATTAATGCGCGCACCTACCGCGGACGTGTTCGAGTGTCGGTGTGCCGCATCTCGTAGGCAACGTTGCTCGACGGCTCTTTTTCCCCGGTGACATTTGCGACGGTAAATATGAAGAAAAAGAAAAAAAAAGAAACCTCGCGGCATTAACGACGTACGCTCGGGGTAGACGTAAGAATTATCAAGGACGACGGCGAGGGAGGCGAGCTCTAGGGATGATCTCGCTGGCACGCAGTCCTTAGCCTTAGATGACGTATTATCCTAAGCTGGGGGGGGGGGAGGGGACAAACGCGCGAGCGATAAACGTTTCCGAGCGATATCGCCTTTCCGCGGCGGAATTTTGTATAATAAATACGTCGCCTTGAATCTCTGAAGAGAGTCACCGGCGATATTTTGCGAAATATGCCGTGAAGCGTAATCCGATAACGTGAAATCGTGACACGGGGGACGGCAGGCAGCGCGGTAGAAGGCCGCAGGAAAACCAAGTACTCTGATTAACCCGTTTTACGTCAATTACCGCATCGGTCGAGCATTGAGCGGAGTCCTTGCAGAGAAACCATTTCGGTTGGCTTCCGTTTAATGAGATTCCAATTAACGTGCGAAATAGATTGGCGCGACCGAAGGCAACCCGATCTCGATTCGCGGGCGTATTCGCGACAGCTTCTTGCCGCTGCCGAGGCGGCTGATTACCAAAGCTATTCATTTCTTCCCCCTCCCCCACCCTTTTTTTAAATATCCCTCGATTACTCGTCCCGCGTAAAAGCTGTACACTCGACTATCATTCAAGACATTCGGGAAATAAAGTTCGGACGGCGTTATAATGAAAGAGATAGGCGGGGATTGGAAATGAGTTTACTTTCGTTTGCCGTAACTCGTGGCGGCTTTGTACGAGCGGCTCGGATTTCAATACGTCGGAATTTAAATCCTTTTGCGAGAAAACCCGTCTGGCACACCGTACAGCCGTTTGCTGAAGGAAAGAAAGCTATCGATTTCACAGATTGGTTCCTCGCAAAAAGTTAAGCCAGGAAGGTTGAACCAAAGGTAGAAGTGAGTTTCGTAAAAAGGTTAGCGCCACTCCCAATTACTGATTCCTTTTCCCTTCAACTCCCTTCTCTCCCTCCCTCTCTCTCTCTCTTTCTCTCTCTCTCTCTCTCTCTCTCTCTCTCTCTCTCTCTTCCCCCTTCCCCTCGCCACTCATCTTCGCTCAGCCGTCTTTGAATAATACCTTCCGGGGCTTTGCACACCTTAATGAAAACCTAAATGTTTCACGAATTCGTTTCTTCAAAATTCCTTTCATGCACTCCCCTGTCCGAAGTGAAAGGACAAACATGCAATATGCACGCCCGATATTACCACGCGACTATACAGTTCAGCACTTTAGGCATTATTATTACGTTACGTCCACTTCGCTAAACGATTAATTTCAACTTTAATTGCGAAACAGTTTAAGCCACGAAAGTAAAAACTCGCTTTCGGCGAGCCGCGGCCGGCGAGCCGGGAGGCCAGGGGGCGGATGTAGACAACGGAATTTCATTTTCCCGCATTAATTTACAGCGAGTTTCACCCCGGCCGAAACTTGACTCCGGGAGTTGACCGTGTAATGCCCTGTGTCTGAAAAAAAAAGAAAGCGCGGAGATTTTTAAGCGGAGAGGCCGCGCGCGCTTATGTTATAATTGTAACCGAATATCTGGAGCGCGCTTCCCTCCGCGGCGGATAATTATTTGCCGAACGCGAAATTAGACTGTATTGCGGTTGAATATGAGGCCGCGCGTAACGGGATTTTCAATGAGCAGCGTTTAATTAGATACCGACGTCGAATAACTATATCGCATCGCAAATGCCCGGCGTACACGCACCGTTTTACCTACTTCGTTTAAGCCGGATCATCCCGGCCGTTACGAAACGTTAATTATTGCACCTCCGCCAGCCTCCCTGCCCGTGCCGTTATAACGGCGTTTGCCTCGCCCCGCGCTGCTACGAGCACGGGAAACAATATCGCCGCACCGCGACAGACGCGCGGCGTTTCCTCCGTTTCATCACGTCGACCCGCAGCCGCCGCGCGGCGCAACAGTTCAATTACTCGCAAATTGTTATTCGCATCGGTCATCAGCTATCGCGCCCACTCAAGAAGTTACAGGACGACCCCCGCGGCTATAATTTCTTTGCCCGCGTGTCTATGTCTGCCGCGCGCGCGCGTGGTCCTCCCCGCGAGGGGCGCGATCCGCGCGATCAATCGATCATCTTTACACGCCGCGTTCGATTTGCGCCGCCCGTAGCACGCCGTCGTTCGATTTCTGCTTTTCCTGAAATGGGCAGAATGCTTGCAACACTTTTTTAAATGAATTTAGGAACGCGCATTTAGATTCAGATTTACGTGTCAGGACGGATTTTCTCCGAGAAATGGTTTACTCGAGAAATAGATCGGAAAGGCTCAAAATGATTTCGGAATAGCCATCGAGTAAAATATTCCTCTCCATCT